TTTTAGTCTTAAGTCCTTAATCTGACTCTTAGCCATGTTCATGGCACATCCAGCCCAAGTGGCTGCTTGGGAGCCACCCAGTTGTCCCCTCATCAGCTTGTCAAAAGCCATTTGCCCTCGATGAGGGCTTGAGCTACTTCAGGGTCAGCCAGGGTGGGGAGGTGGTGCATGGGGTGCTTGTGGATGGCTCCTATGGCAGCTCCAAGGCATCTCAGGAAATGTGTAGAGTTCTAGGTTTAGGAGGAATGCTTGGGTGGACTCTGCTCATCACTTTAATTTCTGTAGGATAAACAACACAGAAGGAGAAACTGTAACGTGCAGGCTCCTGTGCTTTGGTGATTAGATTGAAAGAGAAGCAGGAGTCCCTTTTCCTCTCTCCTAATCATGCTGCTCACTGGCTTAGCAAGAACACAGGGCTCCTCTGCGGGTCACTGAGTGTAGCTGTGAGCCACAGAACATCATTTCAGTTAGGTTACACAGAGCCAAACTAATCAGCCTCCCAGTCCTTTGATTGCTGCCTTTTTTTTTCCTCTCCTTTTGAGGCCTGTGCTGGGGCAATAAATTGAGAGCAGGAAAAATGAATTTGAATCTGAGAGCAATTTCTTAAAAAAGATGAAGGGAAGAAATCATCTCAGAAGCACCAGCCCAGGCAAACTTACTCCTACTGCTTTGTTCCACTCTTGGCTTTTATTACATGCAGGACCCTAGTCAGACCTGCCAGGAAAATGTCTCTGTCCCAGCAGGGCTGTGCTGGGTGCTTCTTCTCATCTGGTGCTAGTTGGAAAGAGGGTTTTCACCAGAATCAACTAATAAGACTCACAGTGGTGCATGGAAACATCATGTAAATGATGCAGTTATGTAGAATGGTGGAACCAATTAATTTTTGAGTTTGCTAAACAATTGCAAGTTTGAAAACTTGGTTGGAAAAATTCCTCTTCCCTTCCGTAATGGGAAGAATGTTTTCAGTTGTTTGTTTAAAGTGTTCTGGAGCAGAGATTTCAGACTTTGTTGGCAAAGAAAGAAAAGAAAAATTTGATCTAATGAAAGAGTTGATAGATTCAAGTTGGGCTCAGGAAAAGAGAAAATATCAATATCAACGGAAAAATAAATGTTGGGGTTTAAAGCTAACAAAAATAATCATTTCAAGGTGTTTGCTGGAATTATGTTCTCAGTCTGACAGAACCTTAAGGAGCTTTGATCAAACCATTTCCAGTAAATAGTTTTCATGTTTGGGAAATGTTGGCATATTCCCTAGTTAGTGATCTGCCAAGGAAACCAGACTCTGCTGTTCAGCTCTGTCTGTGTCATCCAGAGCTCCAGCTCCCAGAACATCAGTCTCCTCAATTCACCCGTGCAGCTCTGATTAACATCTCTCTGGGTCCTCATTTGAATCCAGGGCAGCTCTGGAAATTGCAGGCTATTCAGGCACAGAGAAGGAAATCAGAAGCCAAAGACAGGTGAGATGGAATTAAAAGAGTGAGGTGAGGTGTAATGGTGGAAGCAGGGAGCAGTTGCTGGGACTGAGAGCTGCACTAGCAACGTCTGCTGTTTCTCCTTCTTCTACCCCTGGTTGTGCTTCCTCAGCCCCATTTTGCTACAGTCTGTTTTCAAGAAAGCAACTGTTGGAAGGCAACTTTTTTGCCTGCCTGCTTTGGACTCAGCATGTCCTCTCCCATCCACCTCCTGACCTTGCAGTTGTGCAAGAGAGCTACACATTCCCCATGCTGGGATTTGTACCTTCAGCTCCAGAAAGAGAATCACAGACCTGCAATCTGAATCCCTCATCACCTCAAGTGTGCTGCCCAGCTTCTCCCTTACCTGTCCATTTTATTTAGATTGCTTGTTTCTTCTTTCCAGACTGGGAGCAGTTAGTATTTCTGTTTCTGTTTAAGCAGCAATTTGTGATCTAATTTGTTTGTGAGTTCGTATGTGATTCCAGGTGGAAATTACTGTCTGTCCTTGTGCAGCCTGACTCTCTGTACATATCACTCCACATCACTGTTCATTGCAAAAATGCTCCTAAATTTAAAGGTGACATTCATGCTCCCTCTGGTGTGCCTGAATGGTGGATAGAACCAGGAGCTGTCTGTTCAGGAGATGTCCAGTGCTGTCTGTTCTAGGCCAGTTCCTACAAACTGGTATCAACTCACCTCTTTGAGAGAAGCTGAATACTTTGTACTTATTCACTGATGTTTTTCAAGACTGGTTCTTGTGGATGTTTTCAGTACCTTTTCATGCTTTGCAGCTAAACACTAGCACAAAAGCATGGTTCTGTGTGCCTCCCTGCCCATAAATGTGGTAGTGACTGGTATCTCCCTTGGACTTTACAGTTTCCTCCTTGTTTGTGCAATTATGCACAGATAATGCAGTTGTTTCAGCTTTTTCTGGTGAAACTGAACTAGTTATATTCAACACTCTGCCATTTCAGAGTTTCTTTGCTGCCAGATGATTGATTTTACATTTGGCTACAATTAGAGGCACGTCCTTACGCTCTGACTCTCCTATCTGCAACAGATCAAAGAGATATGTCATACACTACAAAAACTCAAACAACAATCTGGATTTGATCTATGCACAGAGGTAACCCATGTATATCCAGTTCTAGAGCCCCCAACACAGGAAGGACATGGAGCTCCTGGAGCGAGTCCAGAGGAGGCCTCAGAGATGATCTGAGGGCTGGAGCAGCTCTGCTCTGGAGACAGGCTGGGAGAGTTGGGGTGTTCAGCCTGGAGAAGAGAAGGCTCCAGGGAGACCTTAGAGCACCTTCCAGTGCCTGAAGGGGCTCCAGAAAAGCTGGGGAGGGGCTTGGGACAAGGGCAGGGAGGGAGAGGACAAGGGGGAAGGGATGAATACTGGAAGAGGGAGATTGAGGTGAGACATGAGGAGGGAATTGTGGAGTGTGAGGGTGGTGAGAGCCTGGCCCAGGTTGCCCAGGGAAGCTGTGGCTGCCCCATCCCTGGCAGTGTTGAAGGGCAGGTTTGCTGGGGCTTGGAGCAACCTGGTGTGGTGGGAGGTGTCCCTGCCCATGCAGGGGGGTTGGAACTGGATAATCTTGAAGGTCCTTTCCAACCCAAACCAGTTTGTGATTCATATCTGTACATAAAGATCTGAGATCTGGCTGGTAAAGGATTGAAAGGAAATTCCTCTGGAATGTCACTGGGAGCCCAACATGGCAATCCACTCTTAACCATTCCTTCTGGGAAACTGTCACCTGACCAGTTTAAACTAGGATGCTGTATGGGACAAATGAAATATCATATTGTGGTCTTAGTCAGTAATATCAGTGATTTCCTTGTCTTGAAAGTTGTGATTTCATGGAAGTGTGGAGACAAGTCTAATGAACAAGCAGGAAGCTTCGTTGACCTGAGCTGTGCTGCCAACCTTTAATTCCATGATTTGGAGGTTGAAATACAAGCAGAGAGGCCCTTCCACATCCAGGTCTCCATTCCATACCTGCTGCTACCTCCTGCTGTGTAAATCTGCAGTTGGCAAGATGCTGTTTGTCCTGTGCAGGAGCTGGGAGGGATCTGAGAGGAATCAGCAGCCATCGCATCTCACTCAGAGCAGAGGTGCAGGGCCTGAGGATACATTTGGTTCAGGAGGAGGGTTAATACAGCTATTGATGTGATCCAAAGTGGCTGGTGCCTCATCTAGAGGTGACCCTTCTGTGCTCCCCCCTGAGCCTCAGCCACACAGGAGCTGTGCACAGACACACAACCAGGGGCCAGGTGTGCACAGGCACACACATAGACACACACACAGACACACAACCAGGGGCCAGGTGTGCACAGGCGCACACACACAGACACACACACATCTTTCTGGGCTGAACCTTTGAAATCCAAACAGCTTTAATAAACAGCAGTGAAGAGGAAACCCACAGGCAGGTGCTGTAATCAATTCAAGCTGGCATATGTTGTCAGAATAGAGAACAAGAAAGGCAAGAAGAAGAGGTCTAATCCACATTAATTTTGTAAGAAAATCATTCAAATCAGCAAATATCAGCTTCTTCTAAACCAGGGCTGACACACATGTGCTGCTCTGAGAACAGAGAAGCAAAGCTGTTCTGCAGAGAGCCTGCCCATGTCATGAACCCTCTCCTTTGGGAAGGTGTTTGTGCTCTGGTGAAAGGGCATCACTGGCAGCATCCCACCCCCTGCACTGGATGGTTCTGTCCCTCAGCCCAGGGGAGTGCATCCCTTCAGTGCCAGGTGCACTCTCAGGCCAGACACACTCATTACACCACATTTTCCAGCCCATTGAAGAGGCAAAGTGCTGAGCTAATACTTGGCTGCAGACTAGGAAGTCCAGCTGGAACAGGAGGTTTGCTAGCCTGCAGTTTCCTTAAAGCTGGGGCTAGAAGGGCACAGCCAAGCAAGGTGGTAGTTGCAGTATGTCTGAAGGTTCTCTTTGGCCACCTGAGCTTTTCCAGCATAGAAAGTCCTCCTGTCCCTTATTCACAAAGAAATTACCTTTCAACTAGAAACACATACTCGACTTCAGAGCGAGCAAGTTGCATGAGGCAGATGAGGAGGAGGCGTCTCTGGAAAGTAGCTGATGGCTCAGGAGTCTTCACTGGACTTAAATTTTTGAGGTTTTCCTTTGCCAGTGCAAACAAAAATATAGCTTTTGGCTTTACTCTCAACAAGAGAATAATGGAAGTTCAGATTATGAGGTTCAAAATGGGAATCTTCCAGATCTGTAAGCTTTGTGACCCGTCTGCCATACTTGGCAAACATTGCTTTACTGTCTGACTAAGAATATGTGTCCTGTCAGGACTATTGTTGTGGAGCCTTGACATGTGTTGACCATGCCACAAAAGCAGAAGGGGTGATGTTTGTCAGCTTGTTGCTGGAGCACAGAGCCTGTACACAGATCCCATCATGACAGTGGAGGGGAGACAGTGCCAACAATTTCAGGGAACTCTGGCAGAAAGCTTTGAGGATGCCTCCCGTGCTTTAACACCTCAGAATGACTCTCTCGCTTTGCTTTCTCTACAGGCAAGAAAAATTCAATTCTACTGCATAAAGTCCAGCATGACCTCAATTCAGGTGTTTTCAACTACCAGGAGAATGAGATCATCCAGCAGATAGTGCAGCACGACAGGGAGATGGCACACTGTGCTCACAACGTCCAGGCGGCCGCCGCCGCTGCTGCCGCTGCTGCCTCCCACCCCCACCCCTGTCATCTGGACCCCGCTGATCCAGGCACCCCTGCAGGCTGCAGCAGCCACCACGTCTGTTGCCATAGCTCTGACCCACCACCCACGCCTCCCCACTGCCATCTTCCGTCCTCCAGTGTCCGTCCTGGGCTCCTTGGGACAGCAATCCAACCAGACTCCAAGACAGCTGAAAAGGCTTCAGTCTCTCATCCCGTCGACGGGGCCTTCTGCCGTTGGCTCGCCCTCCAGCACTCCATCCCAGCTCCACACCCCAGGAGCAGAGACCCCTTCGTCCTCTTCCTTCCACATCCAGCAGCTCGCAGGATTCTCAGCTGCTGCTGGCTTAGGCCAGTTCCACGTGGGATCCCCTCCAGGTGGCTCAAGCCAGCCAGCTTTGAGCAGCACATCCTCCGTGGGGATGAGCCAGTTCCAACATGCACCTTCTGGATCACCCTTAGGTACAGCTCAGCCCATGCAGCAGCAGCAGCCCCAAACAGCCCTTTCCAGCAGTGGATTTGGGCACTTCCAGCAAGCCCCAACTAGCTCCCCATCAACATCACTCACCCAACTATCATCAAACTCACCCCCCAGTCTTCTCAACCAGTTCCAGTCCACCACAAGACCACTGCAGGGAGGACAGTTACAGCAGCTCTCGGGCAATGGGACTTTGGGGGGCATGAATCACTTCCAACCCCCTCCTTCTTCCAGCTCTCCATCGTCCAGCCTAAGCCAGCTGGCACAGGCCTCTGGTGGGCCGTCCTCAAGCCTGTGCCAAACACATTCAAGTGCATTAGGATCTTTAACTGGAACGATAGCCCAGCTCCACCAAGAACGGCCACCTTTTGCCTCCATGTCTCCACTCCAACAGTCTGGCGTCGCCTCTCCCTGTTATACCCCTTCTGGCCTTAGTCCTCCCAGTCAGAGCCCAGTGGCAACAAGAACTTTTCAGTGTGGCCCTCCTGGGGCCTCAGGCTCTCACGGATCTCTGCTCCTGCCTCAGACCGCCAGCCCACCTCCGCAGATCCTGCCGTCCAAGAGCGCGCCGCCCGTGCCGCCGGGACGGCTGAACCAGGACATCAAGTTGATTTCTGCTTCCCAGCCATCTTTGCCCCAAGAGCTGGCTCAGACACTGAGCCAAAGTTCTCCTCATTCCTCTAGAGAATCTGTTTCCAGCTTCTCTCCTTTTCCTGGTGGAGGTACTGGACTTCTTGGGAAGCCTTGTAGGTCCATTCCTGGCCGTGTGACTTTACCACGTCAGATGTCCTCAGGTTCTTTGCCGCATCCACTGGTGTTTGGGGCCGGCGCTGCTGCTCTGACTGCTGGTGGGAGGAAAGAATCCATAGTACTCACAGGGGATCTGGAACCTGTCAGATCCAAACTGCCCTCCAATTTGTGAGGACGTTCTTCTGAGAGCTGGTTATGTCAGCCTTGCAATTCAGTTCCTGATTAGACTTTCATGAATCATGTTTTCCTTTTCTTTCCCCTTTGCCCCCTCTTTGTTCTCCATTTCTTTTATTTAGGTTTAACTGTGATTAGAAACAAACAAAAAAAACCCCACACAAAAAAAACAACAACAGAAAAAGAAGATAACCAGGTATTCTTAGAGCTATAGATTTTTGGTCACTTGATTTTATAGAATATTTTATTACATGGAACAAAAGGATGTGAGCAAATTTAATCCAACGAGGTAACGCACAGATAAGGCATGTGCCTGAGCTGGAACATATGAATGATCAGCCATAGAAGCCACCAAAAAAGGTTTTCCTGTTGAGAGAAAGATCCAAGGTTGACGTGGGCCGTAAAAGGAAACAGACCTGTCAGGGAAAAGGGTCAGGCCTGTAGCTGGTGGTTTTAGGACAGCTCTGGATGGCCTCAGCTTTGCATCATCGTGTTGCACCAGCTGTGAACCTGGCCCTCAGCACCTGGTTATGGGGGGACTTGGATGGCTCACTGTGCACACCAGAAAGTTTCACTTCCTCCCAAGTTTTGTCCTGTGATCAGCAGGTTGCAGAGGAAGCAAGAAGAGGGGTGAGTTTCATTAATGCAGCCCCCTCTAGCAATTTCACAAGGGCTGAGTTTGGACTCCATCTGAAGAAGTTAAAGGTGGCCAGGAGATGGACAGGCCTGACTTCAGATGCTTGTCTCTTTCTTATTCCACTGATGCTCTAGTGGGAACAAGAAGCAATCCCTTGTAAGTCACAAGGAGGGCAGTGATGATCTGTGTTTTTGTAAGTGTCGTGGATGTGGGTTGTGGGAGAAGTCCTGTCTCTGTGCCAACAGGCCAGGAAGCTGGCCTCAGCCAGAAGAAGAGTCCAAGCTTCAACCTCTCCATGGTTTGGAAAGCACGTGTGCTGCCTTCCAGGTTGGAGAGTGCAAAGCAAGGGGAGAGATGAAAAAAGAGGCAGCACTTTAACCTTCCCTCTTTCATTGGAATGTGTCAGTGTCCATGGGCTGGCTGCTTTGAAGAGAACTGAGTAGAAACAGATTGAGAAGTGGGGTGCAGTCACCCCAGCCCTCTTCCTCCTTAGGCCAGGGGAGTTTGAGCTTTGAGGCACCAAGGGTAGTGCCCAGCCAAGAATCCTCCAGATTTACAACTATCTTTGTATCATTAAACCAGATTAGACCAGAAATTTCTCATGGTCCATGCCATGGTCCATGCTTCTCCTCTGATGGGGGATCTGAAATCGTTTGCTTGATTTCACCAGCAATAACAAGCCTGCACCTGGTGGGCTTTGCTCTTGCCCTGCAGTTGCAGCATCACTGGACACATCTGGGGCCTGGCAGGTACCTTCAGCTGGATTGTTTGGGCTCCCCTGATTTAAGGCAGTCAAAGTGGGATGAAGACAGTAAGGGGCTATTGGGTGCACACAGCACTGAGAAGCCACAGCCTTTACCTCTAGAGTAAATGTCTCCTTTTCATTTACTTCAGTCCTTCCTTCCCCTTTGGTTTTTCCTTAGGCCAAGAGGTGTCTCCAGCCACCTCACTGTAAGAGGTGCTCAACTTTTCTAACACATTAGAAACACATGTCCAGCCTCTCTCAGTTTCCAGCTCTCCAGCCCTCAGAGGGCAGGCAGGACTTCATGCAGCAGTGCCAAAAAAACTTGTTATTATCCCAGTAATGATACAGGTCCATGTAACTCTCCTCTTTTACCTCCTCCCACCCCAACTCTCTCCCAAAACAGTGGCTGACAGTTGTTTTTTATACCGAATCGTTTGCAAAACTCTTGACATGTGCCTGTATCTTGAATGTTGCTGCAAGCATTCCTGGGCACTCCTGCTTCAACGTGCTTTGGTGGCTCAGAATTCAGATGTTATCAGCTTGGTCTTCCTTAAAGGGTCAGGGGAACTCTAGAAATGTTTTTTCTACTAGCTACATACAACTATCTATGTGTGAGTGTGTGTGGTGGGAGGGGTGCATGTGTGTGTGTGTGTATAGATTTTATATATATATATATATATACACACATGCTTTTATATATATAGTAAACAGTTATACACATCTGTAGTCTATTTATGCACATCTGTAAGTGCACACACACACACACACATTTCTATATATGTATCTCCTAGTTTTAAAACCCATGTCAGTTTTGATCCTCCTGTAGGACTGATTGGCAGGTGAGAATTATGATATATAGATCCTGCTTTTCCAAATATGTACAGGTTCATCTTGAAACAGAATCACTTGATGGGATCGAAGCAGCTTCACAGACCCTCTCGTGTGCTCAAAGGTATGAGGCAGTTCCTAGAAGGAAGACTCACAATATCCTTTTAAAGTTTTGTAGTTGTCTAAGCAACCTTTTTTTCCCCATGTGCTAGAGGGCCCCTAGAATGAGCATCTCAAGAGGTTGGGAGCTAAGCTGTTTGGGTCTGGGGCATCTAAAGCAGGTGGGAAAGGTCTTCAGCCCAGCAATGCCAAGCCCTGGTGGATGACTGTCCTGTGACTGCTGCATTGGTACTTGAATCTCAACAAGCCCTGTGGACACTCAGACCAACAGAGGTGCACAGAACACCCCGAGGGCTGTCTCTGGTAGACACGTGTTCCATCCACCAGTCTGGTGATCATCCTTCTTCATTTGGGTTCCTTTGCTTTCTTTTTCACAGGGATATTGTTTGATTTTCCAGTTCTTAGCAGTGCAGTAGCCAATATTGAGTTATACCAACTGGACCCCAGGCAACACTAGGCTTGTCTCAGTAGGTGGAACTATATTTATTATTACTATTGTTATTTTTTGGTTTATTTGGGGGAAGGGAGGGAAGAGTTCTAGGGGTGGGGTTTGCAATATAAAACACACAATAAAAACCTTAGTAAATAAAAATGTGAAAACCCATCCCTCTGACTTGCTGTCTGCTTTAAGTGTTGAACTTCAGGCAACGTGAGGTGAGGTTTGAAGAAGAAAAAAATACTTGGGTGGCATTTCAGTCCTCTCTTTCTTGTTGAACACAGAAGACACAGGGTTTTGTCTCACTCCCTGGCTGTATTTTTCTGATGTCTTTAGAGCTGCCTCATCTTCACCTCACGGTCTTGTAGGAAATGGGTATTAAGCCATTGAGAGCAAAAGTTTAGTACTTCTGCCTGTCATTCAGTTTTTAACAGTACAAAGGAGAAGTCTGGTTTTGCAAATGTGTGCATGAAAATCCTTCACGTTCACGGCAGGTACAGAAACTCCACCTGACTTTGTGATCCTTGGAGAAGAGCCACAGGAGCCACCTTAACAGCTTGGAATAGGGAATATCACAGGCAGCAGAGCTAAAGTGGGAGAACAGAGGTAGCTGTTTCAAGGTCTCAGACTAAGCTGGATGCCAAGGTCAGGTCCTGGTGTATTTTAGAAAGGTAAAATTAGCCTCAACTCTCAGTTTTCATTTCACTCCTGTGAGACCCTCTTTGAGTTTTTGTCCAAACCCACTCTAGGACATATGTATAAAATTGATGATTTGGGTCAGTAGCTCACACAGAGTTTTATGTCCTCATGGCCTTTCTTCCTAGCCAAGAAAACACAGGGCAAAGCATTCCCAGCTGCTGGAGTGTGTCCTATAGCCTGTGGTAGTGAGGTGTATCACAGAGTCACAGAAAGGTCTGGGTTGGAAGGGACCTTAAAGATCATCCAGATCCAACCCCCCTGCATGGGCAGGGACACCTCCCACCAGCCCAGGTTGCTCCAAGCCCCAGCCAACCTGCCCTTCAACACTGCCAGGGATGGGGCAGCCACAGCTTCCCTGGGCAAGCTGGGCCAGGCTCTCACCACCCTCACACTCCACAATTCCCTCCTCATGTCTCACCTCAATCTCCCTCTTCCAGTTTTCATCCATTCCCCCTTGTCCTCTCACTACAAGCCATGTCAGAAGTCCTTCCTTCTGCCATGAGTTGCAGAAGGCTGGGCAGGACTGGAGGATCTCATGGCCTTGCTAAGGGCAGAGCAGACCATGAGGTCCTCATGACAATCATGATACCAGAGGAGTCGGGGACAACTTAGCTACTGGAGTCTGAACTTCCAGCACAGCTAGTAGCCATGTCTCTGCCTTATGCAGATCAGGATTGCACAGACAGCTTTTCCCTAACCAAAGTAAAGCCCTGGCTCCACTCTCTAGAGAACCCAGAAGCAGCACCATCAGTGGTAGAAAAACCCACCATAATATATATATATATAGTATATATATATAATAGATGGTGAATCTGCCCCTTGGGTCTGCACCAGCCCCACAAAGAAACCAATGGATGGCACCAATGAATGGTTGAAGGGCACCCAAATCCCCATGCGACTGGAGACATGGAGGGGGGGGGAAAAGATGAGGCCACAAACAGAATGTTCATATTCTCAGGTGGAGGAGTGGACAGAAACCTTTCCAGTCCAGCCCAGCTCTGCCAGCAGGACCTTGCTGGGAAATGGGGTCAGAGTAGGAATATTGCTCCCAGGGAAGCAGCAAAGGTGTATAGCTGAGACAGCTGGAGTCCAGGGAGGGAAAAGAAAGGGATGAGGGCTGGCTCCTCAACACCCCTGACAGGGAGGTGCTGGGGATGATGCTTGGACTGAAAGACTGACCAGGAGTTTCTGCTTCCTGTAGGCAAGGGCAGCATTACAGCTCCACAGCTAGAGCCAGGGAGAGCTGCTGCTGGCACCAGCATGGGCCCAGCACCCGGGGAGGCAGGATCATTCCTCTGGAAGGTAATAATCCCTGTCCAGCTCTGGTGGGTGGCAGCCACCTCTCCAAGCCCCTGAGAGGTCGAGCTGGGGCATCAGTACCATGGGAGTCCCAGGAGAAGGGAGGAAAGGGGCCAGCCCATGCCAAGGCCCTGGGAACCAGGTGCCAATGCTCTGTTCCAGTGCTCACCTCCTCTGCCAGTGCTGCAGAGAGCCAGACAAGGCTGATGGCTGCAGGGACTAAAAGCCCAGGAA